TTTATTTTATTTTTTCTTTATTTAAATAAATACTTTAATTGGGTCATGATAAACGCACTTGGATCATATAAATCAATCATTTAATAAATGCATGAATATCAATATCGATATGATTTTTTAAATTAACGTTAAATCGCTTTTTTGCAGTTTCGAAATCCACGATTTTGATTAGTTGGTCGATAACATCATCTTTTCGGAACTGATCTGCAATTTGTGTAACGGATAACGGTCACTCCTGAAGCTGTAATGTAATACTGTAATTGATGTAAGCACATGAATAAATTCTAAATAAGGAAATTCACATGACCATCGACTCAGCCGGCTAGTCGATGTAAAAATTCTGACTCAGTCGCGCCGGTATTATGTTGTCAGCTTGGATCACTAAATACGAAATGATCATTTTTATTTGGTTATTTTATCAGGTGACCAGTTAAAAGATACTACATGTATAAATGGAAAATTTGTTAACTGCGATTAACCGCAAAAAAATATATGAAGAATTTTCAACAGGTTAGGATCGCTATTTGGGACACGACAATTATACTCGTATAATATTCGCCTGCATAATATCCTCCTCCAAGCAAAATATCCCTCGATGATAATATCCATATCCAATATCCCACTATCATAGTATAATAATTGTACCAGTATCCCCCGGCTTATTCCGCAAAATACCGTATACGTAAATGATTGTTTTCTCTGAAAGATACATGTTGAGTTTGTATTAAGCATCATACGAAAATATTTTTCATAAAAAAAGTTAAAATGTGAATATAAATATAAACTAACATTGCAACGTAAAATGTCAAAATTTAATTTTAAATCGTTTCTTAAAAGTTTGTTCAAAGATTAAAAGGGGGGTATATGTAGCTGGTAACTATTAGTAGCGGTAGTTCAGCACCTCAAACACATTAAGGCATTTAAAAAACAAAGTTTAAAGAAAGACGGGGAATATAGGTTAACAAGAAGGTATTCAAGCAAGAAGGAAGCGAGTATGAAATATGGGGGTGGCTTGAAACGTCGAGTAATATAATAATGTAGTGTTAAAAGTAAAAAGTACACAGCGAAATTCATTTGAATGAATCTCACTATATAACAAAGATTTAAAAAGCCCTTATTATGAACTATAAATAAAAAGGATATATGTACTTTAACGAAGCATTTACATTGACAAATTGAAGTTTTTAATTGGAACGGAACCTTCGTTAAAGGGAACTTCACTGCGAATATCGGAGTTTTTGCCATAAAGGACATCCTCTTCCGTTATATTTGCTAAGAACTTTATTTAATTATTCTCGGAATTTTGTTAGCGATCATATGGTTGAGTGCAATAAATTATAACAAAGCATTTAGGCTGGAAATTATGTTTAACACGCATATTTTTTAACAAAGGTTTTTAGTTTTGACAAAGGTTCTTAGCTAATTATATACAAGCTTCAATCAAGTTTGAAATATTCTGCAAATGAACAATCAAAATAGTTTAATCAAAGGAAAAAGTTTACACTGTTCACACAAAATGTGTTAGTTTAACAAAAGAAAAAGATAAGTTGTATTGTGTATTCGTTTTCAAATGACAATAAACAGGTCTTTTGAAAGAAACAAATTTATCGTTTCCATCGGATGTTTCGTGATAGATTTTTACAATTTTTTGGCTATACGATACGATCTATGTGTTGTGTATGTACAACATTATACCATTTAAAAATAATGGAAATGGCACATTATGAAATGCATACACAAATCATTATAAATGCATTCAATGATTAAAAAGTAATGATCTACAGATGATAATATTTTCATCTGATAGTAGATCATTGGACCGTTATAACGGAAAATATATTCCTATTCTGAATTCATTTTACTTAACTATAAATAAAAAAAGATATCCTTCGTTCCTATAAATATCCTTCGTTCAATTTTTCACAAACAAAAAACAAAATGAATCAAGTAGCTAATAACCATAACATTAATTCTGAGCATCCTACATGTAATACCACTCATGATAATTCACTAGATATCACCAAGTATATGCTACTAAAGCCATCCAATCCCCCTGATATCACCATTGAAGAATTACTTAAAAAAAAGAATCGTCAAACATTAAAAACTGGAAATTCATTTTTCATTTATCGTATGGCTATGGTAAAGCAGAATGAAAAGTATGCATTAAAATGTGATATGCCAACGCTATCAAAGATTGCTTCCAAATTTTGGAGCCAAGAATCACAACAAGTCAAAGATCATTACAAACAACTAGCCAAAGATGCTCAAACGCGTTTTGCTGAGCAATGTCAACAAATACAATTAGGCAACCCACTTCAGACCACTAAAGCTGGAAGAAATTTAGGATTTCCCCAACCTCAAGGATCTACTATTCATCGAACCAGATTACCTTCTATCTCAACACTTAATCCAATAGATCGGTATCTTTGTCAAAAACCTCGATATAATCCAATTCAAGCTAATAACAGCAATTTAAACACTATTACTAACATTCAAGAGACAAATAACTATAATCAATTACTTGAACAACTGATGCTTCATCAACAAATGATGCTTAAACAACAAAATATGCTGGAACGACTCATGAATTACCATAAATCCCGTCTCTAATTTAAATTTATTTTGGACATTGATTTTTGCAAATTTTTATCAGTTTAGTAACAATGCTGTAAATGTAAATGTAAATTTATTCGAAAATATTTTAATAAACGGCAATTAATAACGGTATGCCGATACAACGAATCATCAATCATTGATTATTATCCTTTCTTGGCAATGATGATCCGTATTCTCAAATTATAAATACATGTAATAACGATAACGATAACAAATTTCATTTTTCTACACTGAACTTGCGCAAATGAATTCAATAGAAATACGTATAATTGTTGCTTTATTAATATTGATTGGTTCCAATGATGTTTACTCAAATCAAAATAATAATTTACCTAGTTTGAATAAATCCCCGAAGAAAATAGGTAGCATAAAAACCATCGATTACAATCCGCCATTCAATCCAGATGGTCAGTGGTCGTTAAAAGATCGTCATTGTCTAAATGTCTACACTCCGCCGCCAAATTCTGTAGTCGTGCCATTCTATGCCGTGTGGGTACGATGGAACAAAACAAATGAATGCAGTGATCTCGTAACACCATTGACAAACTTCATTCTCACTTTACACAATAATCCGAAAAATGAGAATAATGCTGAAAATCCGAAAATTAAATCGGAATGGGAACACCCTATCATATATAATGTTAAAGAGTTTCAGTATGAATGGAAAGTGCCGTTGATTGAGGAAGGTATTGTGAAGAATATGAGTTTATTTTATATTAGAGTGTCGACTGATGCTGTTTTGAGTTCGGGGTCTTTTACCGTGTCTGGTGTAGCTGGTCCATTTACTATATGGACCATGCCAGATAAAGAAAATAAGACATTATACGCGCCATCTATACAGGAAAAACCTAATAATTTGACGAATAATGGTGAATTAATCCGAGCTTGGGGAATATTTTTAGAAAATACTGTATTTAGTTTTATTTTTCATTTTATAGCATATACTCTATTTACAATTTATTGTCATTTTTAAAATCAAATATCTGAAATTTTAAGCATAAAAAGAGTTGTTAAATTAACATCAATACTACACTTGTGAATTCACAATCACTTTGAATATGACAAAATTGTATAAAAAACATGCTATTCCAATGTTGCTTCCAAGACGTAATTAAATATAAAAGACTTAAATGTTCCAGAAATATTTATTTACGCATCGAAATTATGGGAAATAGCACCCGCTACTATTAAAAATACTTAAAATTATGTAAATGTGCTCAAATATAGAAAATAATAATACCAAGTTCACCAAGAACGACAACATTGTTAATTTGAATGAAGTCAGCGGATGTTATGACGAATTTTCTGAATATCATTTTCAATTCAAGCGACGATTCGTTTATTTCAACATCCTAGCATGTGAATATGTGCAGTTATATGAAGCAGTTTAAATCAATTAATAATTTTTTAGTCTAAATGTCTCTTTTATATTCTGTGATAAGCACTTTGAGTTTATATTCAGCTCCTTCCGTTGCCTTTCGAGCCTGATCGGTGACAGGATAAAAAAGAAGTCTTGAAGGAACAGTCAACAAGTTGTATTTTTACCTTCCTCGACTCAGTTACAAGTTCTATCAATTAAACTATGATTTCTTTCTTTTTGTAATTCTTTTACATTTGTTAATTCTGTTTTATTGCAGCAAGTTTCTAAAAAAAAACTACTGTATACTCGAAATGGCTTTCGGTGAACTCAGGATAACTCGCAAAATAAAAAGAATGAAATTTAATTTGCAACGAACATCTGATACAAAACTATATGGTAACCATAACATAGAAACAAATACTCAGATTGAGTTCTAATGAATTCTCGATAAGGAAAATTTCATATTCTAGATGGATTTCTCAATGAGGGAAAATGAATAAATAAGATATCTTATTATTTCATTGACCTAATAATTTTTTTGCAGTAGAATATCTCAAATTCAAATTAAAATTTTGTGAATAAATTATTCTTAATAAAAATTATGTATACAGTATAAGTAGCACGTTTGGTATTGTACTCAATTCACATCATTCAATCTTGTTCTAATTGAGAGATCTCGGTATTAAACTGATTCAAATAAGCATTTTTGATATATGAAAATTATTACGTATTGAGAAATTGCTGTATATTTTTCATTTTGTTCCTGAATAATTTTATTTATACTATCTATATTCGATATTAGTTTCAAAGAAAATTAGAAGACTCAATACTGTAGTCTTATTTAATAGCATTGGACATGGATATAGTCTTAAAATCAATTAATCATTTACATACTCTCGATGTAACGCATTTTTAACAAATTCGTGCTGTAACGAACATTTATAGCTCCATATAAAAAGATCTTGTTATGATATAATGAATTCAGTCGGTAAAAACCAACAAGTAAACTCATCATGGTCTTTTTTTGCCTAATATAAGATCACGTAGAGTACCGTATTTGTGGACTAAAGTACCTAAAGCTCTGTTCGGATCGGTTTGGGTTTGATCCGAAAATCGTAAAATAGTTTTTTGTTAATAACTTTTACTAAGACACCTGTATTTTGTGTCTTAAGTGAAATCGAATTGTTCGGAATGTAATTGTATATATTTAACAATTCTCATTCAATTTGAATTAATATTGTACGAGAAGTAACGATTTTTAGTCTGATCCGAAAGACTTCGGGTCGGGTTTGACGCCAATCCGACCTGAAGCACTAAAAGTACCCCATCCATAGACAATTTAACTCTTGATTTAGTCAAAATTTTTTAGTAAACCAATTGTTTTTCTGAAAATGAATAAAATAAGACTCATTCTTGGTGCAATCATCAAAAAGTCACGTTACTAACATAATAACTTTGAGATTAAATTAAAGGTTTAAATTTTCTACAGAGGGGAACTTTAGTCCACGAAATACGGTAGCTCATTTCATGACAACTGAAATTTGATGAATTGAACTCGAATTGCCTTCGAGTACCAAAAAAGGTCGCAGAAATTCTGCTTAACAAAGATAAATGAACATCAAACCTTTAAGTTTCCCTTTAATTAACACGATAACTTTTTAATCTACACAGAATCTATTACTCTTCATAAAGGTCAAGTGAATCAATCATATCAATTCTCAAGATAATCTTTTGTTGACTCTTCAATATCTTGAAGAAAATTCATTATAGAAAGATTTCGGAGATTAGTAAATTAAAAACCTAATACATAGACTGTATGTATGCTATTTAAATTTAACACAACACAATATGAAAGCTTGCGTTATACATGTACAAGCCATAGATAAATTGTTGTATACTGTATTTTAGGAAAATATTGAAATTATAAAGTAGCACCACGGCGTAACGGGTTCCAAAATTTTTGCGGCTTTTGAGTCACCACTAATATTAAATCTGGGTCCTGCGTTACAACGTCATGGCGCTATTTTATACTGTATCTCCGAAAATAAGCTACCCTCTCCCATTTTTCTAGACATTACTGTATACTATATTTTTATGTTGTGTATGTAAATAATGTCATTAGAATATATTAAAATCACACACAAATTTAAACAATTTTATATGAACCATTGGATACATGTATTTGAATTGTGTTTTCTGTTTTATTAATCGGACATTGTATATAAATACGTAATAGCGGTATGTTCCAAGTATATTAGCTGTCGCGTTCCTAATGTATTCGAAGTTACTTTCCTGGCGTATTCAATATCGTTTCCCTACATTTTTTAATGACTTCAGCCCTGAGTGATTTGTTGATTCCGAATATGAATATAATAGTGAGTCAAGAAATCAAATGATTTCGATGAATCAATTCTCAAAACCAAACTGAATTCACTTCTCACACACCTGTTAAATACAATATTTTTATAAAAAATTAAATGGTAATAGTATCCGAATACGCCATATAACAAAAATCATTGCAAATTTAGATCATTAAATCAGTCTATCTAATAATTAATTTTCATTCAGAGGAAGTCCAAGAACGAACTACTTCAGGATTTGATGTCAAGTTCCTTGTCAAACAATTAAAATTGTATAATTTCAGATTTTCATTGTTTCTTTGACTGGACTTCAGAACAATGCATACGTAGTTATAGTATATTGCTTTAACAGCTCATATCGATATAGTCTAATGGGAAAAAATTCATTGGACTAATATCGATATGTCTATTGGGTTTGACGTTTGATTCAGATGTTTTCTCTAAGCGACACACAAATGTTGCAATTTCTCGATCTATTTTATTTATTGTCACAGAACCTGGTTATTGTTTTTCTAATGATTATTTCCAACATCAATCTCAATTTTTACATCCAATTTGTGATATACTATCAAGGTGTGTGTTGGATTAAACTCACTTTAAGTGAGTAATTAATTATTTGAGTTAGACATTATAGAGTGGTAATTTGAATTATATGAATATTGGATCGTAGCTAACGCTAATGTGAGCTTTAGAACGTGACAACAAGCCAAATATTTTACAATTGAGGTGAGGATCTGCATGCCTTGCGACGACGATTTAAAGAACTTTGTATAAATAATATAAATATATTAAATGGCTTTTTCATTAACAGTGTATAAACTATCCAGAAAGTTAAACCATTCCGCGTTATTCCCAAAGAGTAACCGAATCTTCAGAGGTTTGAAAAGCAAGATTATGATCCAATGTTAAACTAGGGTCTTCGAAAAAATTCGTTTCGAAATGCGGAAATTTCTCTATCTGTAAGAGGTTGAAATCCGGCGACTGGCAACTTTTTGGCTCTGCAAA